AGAACATTGATCATAGATCTACAAAAATGATACAGTATTAAAGCTCTTGGGTGAATCAGGGTTTGCTACAGTCCAGCCAACCTCTGTTTTATATTTTCGTCTACCATAATCATTGGTGGCTTAAGAGTAAAGACCATGGACAAATCCCCTGAACTTACCATTTTCCACTCCTTAGCGCAGAACAGTTGCCATTTCTCTTTTTCCTGTTGAAATGAACATCGCAGAGGGACTTTTAGCACACTGATTATATTATATTGTTCTTGCCTAGTAACTACACATGCTGGCCATAGTTTGATTTTTTCTCAAGATATACTGGGCATACTTGATTTTTGTTTTCTTGGAGACCATAGTTGACCGTTTTCGTTTTTGTTTTCTTGGAGGCCATAGTTGATACTGCATGATAGAGTTAATACCAGAAATTTAGTCAAAAGAAAATATATGCACCTGGACTGTTATGATTGTGTATTCTGCACTGAAGGAGTGGAAGAAACTTCACTACACCTCTTTTGGGATTGCCCTTTTGCTCAAGACTGCTGGGAAACCATGATCCCTTAAAGGCAGAGAGGAACTTCAACATATGATGATATACTGCTTGTTCATCACAAGTTGTACAACCCATTGCAATGGCCATGATCATACTAGGTTGTTGGAACATTTGGAATCAAAGAAATGGGAAGATGTTCAGTTACTTATCTCCTACAGTGCACACAGATCCAAACTAAGTTTCAGTGTTGCACATTTGGAATCATATTATTCCACGGGCAGCACTGAAACTAGACTGAATCTCATATTAGAACTGCATTGACCAAGAGGTTTCTCGGGGTAAAAAATGGATTGACAAAATGACAATTCCCATCCCAGGTTCCAATTGTGATGGGCTGATAGGATCGAAAGTATAAACATAGACCCAAGAAGTCGCAGGTGTTTCTGGGCCATATCCATGTGTACTCGGCCCAGCTTTGAGCATGCATATAACTGAGTAGTTTGGGTCAACCAACACCACAGAAAGGCCAATGCCCACTGAGGATTGGGGACAGAAACCCACGACTACTCCCTCCGTTCCATAATTATGGAACTAAAACCCAGAGGCAGAGGGAGTAGCAACCAAAGGAAGATTTTGTGTCTTATTCTGCTAGCACACTTCCAAAGCCAGTTAAAGATAATGTGAGCCTCTGCTCGTGTCTTCAGGCTCAGTGAGATGGATCAGTATTTGTTATTATTGCCCTGGCATATCCATTTATCTTGAGTTTGACAAATGGTGTGCAGGCTCATTAGGAGTTGAAGGTCATTAAGTTGTTCAAAAACTCGTTCTGAGAGTGGGGTGTGGAATAGAGCATAGCTATCATTAGAATTGAGCAAGCAGGCCAAGGACTGGGTGTCATTTTTGGCAAAAAAAAAGTGCAGTTCAGGGAATATGTGAATCAGAGGTCTGTCCACCCACTTTTCATGCCAAAGTTTTATTGTGCCTCCGTTGCCAGCCTTGCAGGTTGTATTACTCTTGAATGAGGGCAAAAGTTCGAGATGTGTTCTCCACGAGCTTGATCCCACCATTCTTGCCCCTGAGAGTTCAGACGAGCAATATTTGTCCCAAATCATCTTAACCCAAGGAAGGTTCTCTTGTTTAAGAACTTGTGGAGGTTTTTCATGAGTAGAGCTTTATTATGCACTGCAATAATATCCAAGATTCCAAGCCCACCTTGATCTCCAGGCCTGCAAATCTTGTCCCAAGCAATTAATGCAGGACCTGAATTTTCCTGGCCATATTTTTTCCAGAAGAAATGCCTCATATACTTATCAAATCGATCAGTGATACTGGCAACCAGGGCAAGGGCACACATGAAGAAAATAGGCAGTGCAGAAAACAGACTTGATCAACTGTAGCCTCCCATCATAAGATAGCAAAGTGGAACACCCTGTCAGTCTTCTTAACTAATGTAACTAGCAAGCAATAGCATGCTGGATGGGTTACCAAGGCTTGAATGATTCTGCAATTTTTTGGTCTCTGAAAATATCAGGAAATGTCCTTCCAGACATTGAATGATGAAGATGTTTACCTTGCATAGATAGAGACTATACGCACGTACGGTTTATGAGAAACTGGGGCCAGGATTTGCTCCATCAGTACCACCTGTATCCTGTTCTTCAAGTCCAAGGCTTGATGGATGCCTCTTGTTAGCCAGCATAACACTCGAGGCTCTACATAACCCACACATGTATTCCCTTCATCGCATTAACTGCAGAAAGCAAATTAAGAAAGACGACTCTAATCATGTATAGCTTGTTTCAAGCATCGTCCACACGTACACCGTCGGTGCGATCAATATCACACCAATTGTTTTGGACTCAAGCCATACATGCAATCTGCAACAACTAGTATGTACAGCAACTGTTGAGGAAATTAAGAGCACCACAGGAAACAGGGAAGAGAGGGGGAGATTTGCATTATTGGTGGTGGTACTAGAAAACACATGGTTTGGTGAGGTGGTTGAAGCCAAGAAGCAGGACGTGGTAGCCTTTTTCCGTTGCCGTCCCTGCGGGTGTTAGCAGCTAGGTGGGTAGGCCCGCTGTGGTCTTCACTCTTTTGACCCGGGAGCATCAATCATTTTCGCAGATGTCACAGTACTCTACTCCGCACCAGGTTTACTGCAGGTGGATGCTGTTCTTCCAGCAACCTACCTGTGTAAACCGAAATGATCAGGCTCAGGCTGGGAACAGCATGAGAGTTGAGAGTCATTGACTGAAAATCATTTGCTGCCGTCTGACCTCTGAGAACACCATATTTAGTCTGTATGCCATGAAGATAAGTGGTTAAATGCTGCAAGTGCAGGTTTGATGCTACTACAAAGCAATAGCACTGCCGGCAATCAAACTAGCCAGCTACCATATTATTTCCTGCCAGCAGGCTGCTCACTTGAGTAGAGGTTCAGAAATCGAGCTTCATTTCTACACTCCTTTCTAGGAAAAAGCTGCAAGTGAGATTGCGACAGGTATGCCTATTATTGCTAGAGTGTTATTTATCTCTATGAACTCTGTTTATACTAGTAGTAGTTTGTGTGATTATGCAAGTATTATTACTGGAGTGTTATTTATATCTGAACTCTGTTTATACTAGCAGCATGCAGCACGCGCGCTAATTATCACCACGCCATCGCCATGCGTGATCAGTGAGTTTAGTAACACAAAGCTTTGGACCAGCGCACATGGAATACATGGTACTTTGCATGGCATGGCTCCTTACGCAGGACAAGACGGATGGAGAGTAGTCGGAGACGTCCAAATAGTTTCCCATTGGACTTTGCAGGAAGCAGCTACTAGCTTTTGGGGAGCAAATTAAAGGTGGACCAGCAGTAGGTATGTCCATACATCTCAATTCTCAAATGCACGTTGCCAACTGCTTCTTCGGCAGATGTTACTAGCTAGCCTTCCTTCTAAGGCTCGCCGCGCTCAACTGACGCGGCCTCCGGTACAGGTCAGTAATAAGTGCAGTACCCTTTGTCCACTCCTGCAAGTCAGATCCTTCCGTCTTCCATGGATATTGTTGGTGCTCATCAGTCATGCCTTTCATGTCTCCACCAGCTGCATGCCATTGCCATGGCCATGGCCATGGAGAATCTCAGAGGAAACGGAATGATTGGATTGCAGAGTGAGCGACTGACTGGCACCGTATTATGCAGATAGACCCCACTGGTTAGATAGGACCGGGCTACATTAGGACATGATACCAAACAAAGCAGGTGTAGGCATAGAATTCCTTCCACCTAACACTTTATGCGGCCTTTGGGGCATCGCTGATCATTTCATACTGTGCTAGCTAGCTAGCCTGCTGAGAGAGGAGATTGCTCAGGAAAAGGGAGAGGCTATCTATTTTGGTTGGGCAATTTGAGATTCAGCACCAAACCAAATCAGGATTTATCATCTGTCATTCACTTGTAGTCACAGCTTGCCAGGTAGTACCTTGAGCGGTTTAAATAGTCCTAGTGTCACAACCAATCACATTATTCATATGTCCGGCTACTTCTGTCAGAAAAGAGGTGGAGAATGAAGGCCGAAAAAAGGCAAACCGTTGATCGTGCGGTGTTTGCCACTCGGATTAATTGACAACACACCACCGTGTTGAAAAAGAGACGGCCAACATGTATAAGTTAATTCATTCAGGGAGATCACCACTTTGACGCATGCATGCAACAGCCGAACAAGCACACGTTAAGACGTGTTGACTGATCAGAAATACTAGTTAAGTAGTAGACGGCAGTAACAGATAAGCACTAGATAAACTTCGATTGATGAATATATTGACATAAATATACATATATAGCGATGTGACCGTACCAGTTAAGTTAAGGTTGTTTAGCACTACTAGTACATCAACTGATAGAGAATTATGATTGCCATTTTGAAATGATGGAAAATGCATTACTGAACTTTACTTCAGGGGGCCTCTATACTAGTGGCTTTACATTAGCTTATTATGAATGCTAATTAGGTGAGGAACAAAGCAATTAATGCAAAAGACTTCTTTCCCCGTACACCGCCTTTCCGTTGCTTAATTTCTAAATATCATATGCTGAAAGTGACACGCGCAAACGCAAGCACATTGAAATAAATATATTTTGCTTTTTGCTGTGCTAGCTTGAATGGCTGGTGTGACTCTGGTGTGGTGTGGTGTGGTGTGGTGGATTTGATTGATAGATAGAAGTGTCGGCACCAGAAACCAGCACTTGTACCTTTACTCCCTTTTGCTTTTATTAAACAAACTAGCCTTACATTATGGACACTGGCAGAGCACATGCGTGGAGTGAGCGTGAGCCTGACATATAAAATCATGTGCAAATTCGGGGCTGGGTAGACCAAACTTACAAACACCACCCATCGTCTTGTCTTGCAACCTCATTTCATTTCAGCCTCAAACTTTCAGCGCCAGTACCAACCTGCTGCACATTCTTATACGTCCGAGGTAGCTTACAGGAGGTTGCACTGCGGGCAGGCGGTCAGGGTGATCGATGATGATGAAGGTTAGCCCAAGGGTCAGCGTTCACGTTTGCTTGTGCAGCACTAGACATGGGAAGGAGTGCCCCCATTACAACAATAAAAGAGGGGACGGCGCCACAGCCGACTCACCAGAGAAAATGAAGCCGGAGCAGGCCACCCACAACAAGATGACCACGGCGGCCTCCTCCCCGTCCCCCGTCGTCGGCCTGCGGGGCGTGGTCAGCTCCCTCGTCGCCTTCTTCATCGTCGTCAGCTCCGTCTCCCTGCTCTTCGACCGCGGCCACGAGTCGCAGGTGCAGCTGGCGGTGCAGCACCGGCACCAGGAGGTGAAGGTGGCCGCGGCCGGCCGCCGCGAGGCGCAGGTGCAGTGGACGGACGAGCTCATGGGCGAGGCTGTAAGGGGCTCTGGCGAGGAGTGCAACTGGTCCGTGGGGCGTTGGGTGTACGACAACGCCTCCCAGCCGCTCTACTCCGGCCTCAACTGCTCCTTCATCTTCGACGAGGTCGCCTGCGAGAAGTATGGCCGGAATGACACCAGGTACCAGTATTGGAGATGGCAGCCCGATGGATGTGATCTTCCAAGGTATGGCTGGTTTTGTTACATTTACATACATGCATGTTTCTCTAGAAAGAATAGTTGAGTTGAGACTTGGAGTCGTTTTCTAGCTCGGTTTTGTTCATTCATGCCAACAACAACAAAATCTTAGGGAAACCAGATTGGCCTGCTGAAACCAAATGATGCATGATAAGTAATTAAGTATAGCAATGGAACAAATCATATGTGAGATTTTCGATAAAAAATCATATGTGAGATGGCAGCGAGTGGGATTGGCCAGCTGAACCAGAGGGCAGCGAAAGATCAACAATGAGAAATCTATTTTTTTTCTTGCTTTGTTCACCATCCAATTCCATACACCTGCATGGCTAGAAACAGATCATATATGGCATGGCATCCAGTCATTCGCGCCTACTACTGTCAAAGTGTCAATAGCATTTGTGACATGCGGACTATTTTTTACATGTTGAAACAGAATCAACGCCAGAAAATAGTGATATGATTGCTCTGCCTCTGCTCCCCAAAGACACAAAGGAACTAATGGATAGTGAAAGATCATGAGTTGTGAGAATTTTACATCTTGTTCTTATTTTTGTCATGTTGAAACTGTGAAACAGGTTCAATGCCACAAAACTGCTCGAAAAACTGAGGAACAAGAGGATGGTCTTCGTCGGCGACTCAATCAACAGGAACCAATGGGTCTCCATGGTGTGCATGGTGGAGGCCTCCATCCCTGAAGGCCAGAAGATGCGCGTTTACAACGGCTCGCTCATCTCCTTCACGGCATTCGTATGTTTCTCGATCTCTGAACACTTGAAAAAATGTACTAGAAGTAAGGCATGCCACTTTCTGTCAGCTGATCGAGGCACACTGTTTCAGGAATACAATGCGACAATCGACTTCTACTGGTCGCCGCTGATACTGGAATCCAACAGCGACAACCCGATAATTCACCGGGTTGAGTACCGGATAATACGGGCGGAGAAGATTGAGAAGCATGCCCGTGCCTGGGGCAATGCTGATGTTATTGTTTTCAACTCTTACCTTTGGTGGAGGAAGCAGAAGCCCGACATGAAGATGAAGGTCATGTAAGTACATCATTTTACACTCATTGCTTGCCAACAAAAGGAAAGAGTTATCTGAAACCGACGCAAACAAGTTGATAAAGTTTTGGATGCTATGAACTGGGATCTGGAATTAGTAACAAATATAAATATAATTGAGCTAGCATGACGAACATCTTCACCATGTGCAGGTATGGTTCATTTGAGGACGGTGATGCAAAGCTAGACGAAGTGGAGATGGTGGAAGGTTTCGAGATTGCTCTCAAGAAACTAACCGAGTGGGTGGGAGCGAACGTCGACAACAAGACTAAAATCTATTTCGCAGGCTCGTCGCCTACACATACCTGGTGAGACCAAAAACTGAAACTTATCCATCAACCGTTAAACCTGACAACCTGACAACCAACAGATTAAATTTACAAGCATATCACACAATCTTCTCACACATAAACAAACTTTCAGGGCAAGCGACTGGGGCGGAGACGACAGCAACAAGTGCCTGAACGAGTCGGAGCCGATCCAGAAGGTGGGGTACAAAGGCGCGACCACAGACTACAGCATGATGGACAAGGCGAAGCAGATCTTCAGGCCGCTGGAGCAGAAAGGCATAAACGTTCAGATACTCAACTTCACCCAGCTGACCGACTACCGCATCGACGCGCACCCCACCGTGTTCCGGCGGCAGTTCACCCCCCTCACGAAGGAGCAGATCGCCAACCCGAGCAGCTACGCCGACTGCACGCACTGGTGCCTCCCCGGCGTCCCGGACGTGTGGAACCACTTCCTCTACTCGTATCTCGTGCAGAAATGATGTAAATATACATATGCAAACCATTTCTTGTTCGTTCGGGGTTTTGTTGTTGCGGTTGTGGGAGGGTCTAGATTAGGCCGCCGCTGCCTTTATGTATAGGACATGCCCCGCGTCAAAAAAGAAAGAAGAAGGGTTTCTCTGCACTTGCTTGTAAAGAGCCAAGGAAGTGTATATGAGTACTCCTACGTGGAAAGGGATTAAGGAGATGTTCATTTTGGAGGCGTGTGAACATATATATAATCCAGCCTGCAAATCTTATGACACCGTGCTTGGCTGCTAGGGAAACGGAATGGGAGTTTGCTAGGCGATTAAGCTTGGGAAGTTGATTATTAATCTCAAACCCATGTTTGGTGTGGGGTGGGAATTAGTGATGTGAATTTGAGAGGAAGTTTCTTCCCACGTGAACTAATAAGGGCTTAGTGAGTCAAAAGCTTTACTAAAGTCTAACTTAAGTATCATTGTGGATTTTTTTTTGTGTGTGTGTGGCAAGAGTTGATTAGATGAGCGGCATATTTTTTTTTCCAGCAATGTTACGTCCGGATATAAAGTCAATCTGGCTACGGTGGACTAAGAGGGATATAAGGGGTTTAAGTCAATGGACTTTGGCCACCACTTTGATAGGGCAGTTTTGAAGCAAGATGGGCCTAAAGGAGTTTGGTGTTCCCACGGTTTCCTTTTTTGGCAGTAGTATGATGTGGGAGATATTTATGTGTTCAGTGTCGGCGGTCCCATCGAAGAAGTCTTGGAAGAATTGGGTGATAGTTGGTTTAACGAGGTGCGAGAAGAAAGGGTCAAAGTCGTCCGGTCATGGGCTTGCAAGGGGGTTCATGTGGAAGAAATCATGTTTAGTTTCCTGCTTAGTAAGAGCAGCATCAAGGGTGGAGAGCGCGGGGATGGTGGTTGGATAAATAGAGGCTAGGGTGAAGTTCCAATGGGCGAGAGCTATAGAATTGAAGATTTTAATGAAGACTTGCTTGAGGATGGAGGCTTTCTGATTGTGACTGAAGAAATCAGTACCCTAGTGATGGAGGGAGTGAATTCTAATTTTTCCGCAAACGCTGCGAGGCGGAAGCAATGAAATAGCACGAATTTTCACCTCCCTCAACCGCAGTCCTAATTTTGACACGTAGTTTCCAAAAGGCCTTTTTCATGTCCGATCTATATTAATTGTCGTCAAAACAGATGTATCTAGACGTATTTCAGTGTTAGATAAATCTGTTTGAGCGACAACTAATATGGATCGAAGGGTGTATTGTTTTTTGAAGGATCACGGCTCCATTTTTTTGGGTTAAAGATTCTGCAGGTGAAGGTTGGCAGTTTTCTTCTTGAAGGTCTTGGAGTTGAATAATTTCTTACAAATTTTTTCGTAGTTGGGCCGGAACCTGGGACCAGGCCCATTTTCTAGGGCGCATTGAAGTGCCGCAGTGAGGGAGGCCGTCGAGTTGCCCATTGGCCCAAATTCGTGAGCCAAGCCTTTTGAACAATCTATCGACATGGTCAAAAGATGGCCCAACCCACTTCGAATTTGAATTGGTTCATGCACGGGAGAACAGTGTTGATCTGGCAGGGGTACATGATCGGAAGTAAATCTGGCAAGTGACGAAAGAGTTGTATTAGGAAAGGAGTCATTCGTTTCTCAAAAAAAAAGGAGTCATTCCAGACTAAGTTAAAGAAAGGTCGGTCGATTCATTCTATCCTAGGGATTCCCGATTGTTTGTGCATGTAAAGTGTCCATCGAGAAGGGGCAGTTCCATAAGGGCAAGGGCGTTAAGGGTGTCATTGAAGTGCGTCGGTTTGTCAAAAGGAAGGTTTATTTTTATCCATGGAGAAACATAGAAGGTTAAATCACCGATGAGTTAGACACATATTGAATGTGTAGAGTTAGCAACAGAAGCGGTTCCGCCAGCGGTCCTGATCGCCGGCAAGGAGATATGATGGTCGAGAGACCGAGGTAGGAAGGAGAAAAGTTTTGGAGTTAATTGTTTGCAGATTTTTTTTCCTGCAAAATTGACAAGTGTTGATTAACCGAAAGCAATTCGGCTAGCACATCCACACATTTTCGCACATCTCCAACACTTCAAACATTCTAGGTGCAAATTGATAGGGTAGAATGCTCCTTGATCTCTCTTCAAGAGCTTACACATCCTGATTCCAAGCTTTCCTTTGTGAGGTGGTTTGAACTGTGAATCATTGAGGCAGATAGGCATCCGGGCTTCATTTCAGGTCATCTGTTTGTGAGGTGGTTAAACTAAGCTCAAATATGACAAAAAACCTATTAGGATTGTTAGAAGGGAGAGAGAGAGAGGGATTGATGGAATAATTATTTGTATTGCTTGAGCCCCGTGGGCATATATATAGGAGTACATGATTTACTTGGAGTACAAGGCAAACCAGAATATTTCCTAGTCTAACCTATGTTTTCTAATACAATCACGTTACTCAACATCCTCCCGTAGTCACAACGGTAACGACGCTGACGGTGAGACTAGAGAAGAATCCGAAGGCAAGCCGACGGACATCCCCCCACAGTCGTAACGGTCGACGCATCACGGTCGTGGCTGGAGTGGAAACCAACGAGGTTGCTCAAGCAGGTAGTAGCCCTTCGTGCCTTTTGTCGATGTAGCCAAGAGCGTGGGTGGTGGAGCCGTGGTCGAGGTAGCCAGTGGCGGAGCGAGCCCAGCGATCCTGGGCAGTTGCCCGGGCTCGTTGGTGTTGGAAATATGCCCTAGAGGCAATAATAAATTGGTTATTATTATATTTCCTTGTTCATGATAATCGTTTATTATTCATGCTAGAATTGTATTGATAGGAAACTCAGATACATGTGTGGATACATAGACAACACCATGTCCCTAGTAAGCCTCTAGTTGACTAGCTCGTTGATCAATAGATGGTTACGGTTTCCTGACCATGGACATTGGATGTCGTTGATAACGGGACCACATCATTAGGAGAATGATGTGATGGACAAGACCCAATCCTAAGCCTAGCACAAGATCATGTAGTTCGTATGCTAAAGCTTTTCTAATGTCAAGTATCATTTCCTTAGACCATGAGATTGTGCAACTCCCGGATACCGTAGGAATACTTTGGGTGTGCCAAACATCACAACGTAACTGAGTGGCTATAAAGGTACACTACAGGTATCTCCGAAAGTGTCTGTTGGGTTGGCACGAATCGAGACTGGGATTTGTCACTCCGTATAAATGGAGAGGTATCTCTGGGCCCACTCGGTAGGACATCATCATAATGTGCACAATGTGATCAAGGAGTTGATCACGGGATGATGTGTTACGGAACGAGTAAAGAGACTTGCCGGTAACGAGATTGAACAAGGTATCGGGATACCGACGATCGAATCTCGGGCAAGTATCGTACTGATAGACAAAGGGAATTGTATACGGGATTGATTAAGTCCTTGACATCGTGGTTCATCCGATGAGATCATCGTGGAACATGTGGGAACCAACATGGGTATCCAGATCCCGCTGTTGGTTATTGACCGGAGAGTTATCTCGGTCATGTCTACATGGTTCCCGAACCCGTAGGGTCTACACACTTAAGGTTCGATGACACTAGGGTTATAGGGAATAGATATACGTGGTTACCGAATGTTGTTCGGAGTCCCGGATGAGATCCCGGACGTCACGAGGAGTTCCGGAATGGTCCGGAGATAAAGATTTATATATGGGAAGTCCTGTTTTGGTCACCGAAAAAGTTTCGGGGTTTATCCATAACGTACCGGGACCACCGGGAGGGTCCCGGGGGTCCACCAAGTGGGGCCACCAGCCCCGGAGGGCTGCATGGGCCAAGTGTGGGAGGGGACCAGCCCCAGGTGGGCTGGTGCGCCCCCCCACCAAGGCCCAAGGCGCAAGGAAGAGGGGAAGGGGGGCAAACCCTAGGGCAGATGGGCCCTAAGGCCCACCCTGGTGCGCCTCCCCCTCTCCCCTCCCCTTGGCCGCCCCTAGATGGGATCTAGGGGGCTGCCGCCACCCCTAGGGAGGGAACCCTAGGTGGGGGCACAGCCCCTCCCCTTCCCCTATATATAGTTGAGGTTTGGGTTGCCCAATACACACGGGTTCCTCTCCTTCTCGGCGCAGCCCTACCCCTCTCCCTCCTCGTCTATTGCGGTGCTTGGCGAAGCCCTGCAGGATTGCCACGCTCCTCTATCAACACCACGCTGTCGTGCTACTGCTGGACGGAGTCTTCCTCAACCTCTCCCTCTCTCCTTGTTGAATCAAGGCATGGGAGACGTCACCGGGCTGTACGTGTGTTGAACACGGAGGTGCCGTCCGTTCGGCACTAGGATCTTCGGTGATTTGGATCACGACGAGTACGACTCCTTCACCCCCGTTCTCTTGAACGCTTCCGCTTAGCGATCTACAAGGGTATGTAGATGCACTCTCCTTCCCCTCGTTGCTGGTCTCTCCATAGATAGATCTTGGTGACACGTAGGAAAATTTTGAATTTCTGCTACGTTCCCTAACAGTGGCATCATGAGCTAGGTCTATGCGTAGTTTCTATGCACGAGTAGAACACAAAGTAGTTGTGGGCGTTGATTTTGTTGAATATGCTTACCGTTACTAGTCCAATCTTGATTCGGTGGCATTGTGGGATGAAGCGGCCCGGACCGACCTTACATGTACTCTTACGTGAGACTGGTTCCACCGACTGACATGCACTAGTTGCATAAGGTGGCTAGCGGGTGTCTGTCTCTCCCACTTTAGTCGGATCGGATTCGATGAAAAGGGTCCTTATGAAGGGTAAATAGCAATTGGCATATCACGTTGTGGTTTTTGCGTAGGTAAGAAACGTTCTTGCTAGAAACCCATAGCAGCCATGTAAAACATGCAAACAACAATTAGAGGATGTCTAACTTGTTTTTGCAGGGGTATGCTATGTGATGTGATATGGCCAAGAAGAATGTGATGAATGATATGTGATGTATGAGATTGATCATGTTCTTGTAATAGGAATCACGACTTGCATGTCGATGAGTA